TGGTGGGTTTGTTTTACTGTTTTTTCATCTGTTTAAATTTCAGATGTTAGATACAGCTTCTTACTGTTGGTAATGGTTTAGATACAGAAAGGCAAAGGTATCCTGGGCTGCATGAAAAGCAGCATGGGCAGCAGGTTGAGGGAGGTGATTCTGCCCCTCTGCTCTGCTCTCTGCTCTGCTCTGGTGAGACCCCACCTGGAGTGCTGCATCCAGTTCTGGGGTCCTCAGCACAGGAAGGACATGGACCTCACGGAACCCAACCAAAAGGCTGCCTTCCAGGAGGAGGGCAATAAAGTTGATTAGAGGGATGGAACATCTCTCCTATGAGGAATTGTTCAGCCTGGAAAAGAGAAGGCTTTGGGGTGACCTATTTATGGCCTTCCAGTATCAAAAAGGAAATACAAGAAAGACAGAGAATTTTTAGAGAAGCATAACAGGACAAGGGGGAATGGCTTCAAACTGAAAGAGAGTAGGTTTAGATCAGATATTAGGAAGAAATTTTTTACTGTGAAGGTGGTGAGGCACTGGAACAAGTTGACCAGAGAAGCTGTGGATGCCCTATCCCTAGAAGTGTTCAAGCCAGGTTGGGTAGGGCTTGGAGCAATCCGGTCTAGTGGAAGGTGTCCCTGCCCATGGCAGGAGGGTTGGAATGAGATGGTCTTTAAGTTCCCTTCCAGCCCAAGCCATTCTATGATTCTATGAGATACGGTCCCACATGGGACCACAGCATCACATAAGAGGCCTCTCATTTAATCATAATTAAAGCCCCCCAAAAATGGGGGCCACTACAACTGTAAAAAAAGTCAAGCAGCTGGTTAAAGATCATGATGCAACATACACCCTTTAAAACTGAGGCAGTAGTATGGAAGAAGATACCTTGCACCATACCTTGGAACATCTGGCTTTCTTGGCAGAAAAAGAAATTAAATAAATGATATAAAAATTTATTTTATATTAGGCATGGAGATATAATTACGCATACAGTTACATGTTTTATTCAGGAAGTATTTTACCTTGCTCTATTCACTTTTCCAAAGGCAGAAATTCAAGTTCTTGCCCACATTCCTCTATTTCTTTCATAATAATTTTATTCAGTTTCTCATATATGATTTTATGTACTGTGTGTTGCTAAACATGAGAGCAAATAAGATTATTAAATCAGATAATTTAAATTAAAATCTCAAAAACAGCAAAAGAGAAGGCTGAAGGCTGATCATTAGCCCTACAAAACACTGTATTTTATTCCAAACACAAGAAATTTATCTATGAAGCCCATGCAGAGGCAGCTAAAGATAATCTCACAGAAAAATGAGCTCAAGAGCTGGTGATGGAAACTCAAAAGGAGGTCATATGAAACAACAGCTATTTGTTGTTAAACCAGGCAAAACAACAAAATCTCTTGAAGTAATCCCCTCTCAGGAATGAGGCCACAAAACACACAAAGAGCTCCTAAGCAATCTCCCAACTTGTCAGATGAAAGTAAAAGCTGTACAGTTCTAACTGCAGGGATGGAATACACTGTCTCATAAGGCTGTGATGCAACTCTAATCAATGAGTCAGAGCAAACCCAGTTCTGACCCTTTGGAATAAAACTGATAGATGGTGTATTGCCCAAATACAGACTATAATTAACTATTTAACTGTAGTTTCTTTCACTACCCAGTAGAATATTTTAGATTATACGAAAATACTTTAAGACATCATGGACAGATACATACTAGCTCCAGATGTAGATTCAGGCCTACACTGCACTACAACATCATGTAAGATATTATTTGTTGTAAAGCACTGCACTGACGAACTTTGTTCTGAATATTGGGAGTTTCCTGTCCTTAACAGAGTTTGCACAATCATTCTTCAGCCTTCTTGGGCACTGTAAAAGGAGTTTCTGTTATTCCATGATCCTGAGAGCTGCTATGTATGTGAAGTAACTCCAGAATATAATAATTTATCACCTGGGCCATTATTCCCTAAGTAGAACTAAACAACTGACATCGGTGAACACTCATATCTCTTATAATTTCAAAAGAGACTGCATAAAGAAAATAATATTGGTGAATCATATGTAACCTGTACTGAGTAGTTCTTCTACTCCTGGAAAACTACACAAATTGGCTGCAAATTTCAAAAGAATGCATGTCAGAGAAAATATAGGCAAGCAGATCTTCAGGAGTAGCCCTGGATTTTGTAATGTTGTCCATGTACAAAAAGGTAAACCTTATCCACAGGATTGTAATAGGAAAAAGGTAGTAGAAAAGTCCCTAATTATGAAATGAAGTCTTTCTAGGTTAAAAAGAAATAAAAAAAAAAATAAAAGAATTTTCTTGTATTTAAGACTAGCTAAATGTGTGAAAGGGTAGATACTATACAGTTCTGTTTTCCTGCTACAGGGTGATAAGAAGAAAAAGAACTTAGGCCTATTTCACCCTTTTTGAGTGTAGTGACTGTGTTAAAAGGGAAGGAGACACTAGCAAACCCTCTCAGTCAAAAGTATAAAAATGTGTGCTCTGTGCATTAAATGAAACAAAATCCACTCAAAGTTGGGGTGTCCTACTTATAGTATCTCCATCTTTGTAACATCTGCTACTCTCATTATCACATTATTTCCACCTACCATAATCTCTGTTTACTATTTTCTTATCTCTTAATCTGCACTTTCACTTGCCAACATCCTAACCACATGTTGTTTATCTCAGAAATCATTCGTTGTCCTTGATTTCCAAACCAGAAAACTATCCCTAAACTTAATAATTTTCCTCTCCTCTGACTCTGTTCTTTCCTGAGCAGCGTTTGACATCGTTGTCTCTACTACAGGAGGTGCCAGGAACCCCAAAAAAACACTAGTTCCCCATATGTGAGCTGAACTATTTTGTAAAAGCTTTTATCCCATATGGTGCCAGTGTGGAAGTCTGCACAAGAGAACACAAAATGAACTATGTACCTGAACAACTCAGGAGGGCAGAGAAGCAAGTCACACCTCCCAGGTGTTCTGCCATTCTCTGAAGCAGTAACACAACAAAGATGGACAAAAGAAATGTCTGAAAGGTCTTATGAAGTCCTAAGAATTAATGTTGTTCAGGACTACTTTAAGCAAGGATTTTATACTATGCTTTGCTAGGGCTGAGTGCATGCCTACAAGCCAGAAAATGCAAAAATATTTAAATTACAGTTTGAGCATTATCTACTTCATTTTTACACCATTGCTTATGGTTTATTCAGTGTCAGCATACAAAGACCACTGCAAAGAAGAAAATACATCACATCCAATAAAAATGGAACATTTGATACACTTTTCCTTTAAGCATGACAGGAAAAAAAACCCTTTTAATTTACTAAGTATAGTAATAGCTGAATCTGACTTAAGGTTTTTGTAGTCTAATACTAAAACACCTTCTGTGCTGTAAAATTATGCTCTTTTTAAACGCATTCTGGGGGCAGAAATTCTTGAGATCCTACAAAACCAAAAAATTCTAAGGACTCATTGGGTCAGTGAACTTTAATTCAACAGACTTGCCTTGTAGGCTCTTGTGTCTTATGTTTTGTCTAAGGGTTTTCCCGAGATTCACAAAGTTTTATCCCATGTCAACAGTGAATTCAGTGTTTGGCCCTGTTGGTGCTCATCTGCCAGGGTGGTGGGTCCCAGTTGTGGAGCAGCTCAGCTGCCCCAGGACGGATCATCCCCCAAGGTCCCTTCAATCCGATTTGTTCCATGATCCTATTATCGGGTAATGATATCTTTCCTTTGTAATCCAAACAGCATGACATGTGAGCGGTGGTGAAAGGCTTGTGAACACTGGATAGTTTCCTTAAGGGTTTTACATTAAAGAGCGAAACAAATCACAGAACAACCTAACAGACCACGAATCTGCAGAAAGCCCCAGTCCTGGGCTCTGGGACCGGGCACAGAATCACAGGATGAGCCAGGTTGGAAGGGACCGTGGTGAGTCATTGGGTCCAACCTCCCTGCTCAAGCACGGTCATTTTGGAGCACATGGAACAGGACTGCAACCAGATGGTTCACGAATATCTTCAGCAAGGGAGACTCCACGACCTCTCTGGGCAATCTGTTCCTGTGCGTGGTCACCTGCACAGTGAAGTTCTTCCAGGTGTTCACGTGGAACTTCCTGTGCATCAGTTCCTGCCCATTGCCTCTTGGCCTATTGATCGGCACCACTGAGCAGAGCCGGGCTCCATCCTCTTGACACCCACCTTTAGATACTGAGAGACACTGACAAGGTTCACACTAAAAGTGAGTGGGCTACGCATCTCTGAGCCCTGGGCTGGGATGGCTCGTTTGGCTTTGTGTTCAGGGTGTAAAACGCGGCTGACTGACAAGTCCAGAGAGGAGAGAGCCGCGCTGCTGTCCCTCCCGAGGGCCGACCGCCAGCACCCAGCGGCGGTGGGGTTGGACCCTGACGCCCTTCCATGGCTCCCGGCAGCGGGAAGCAGCAGGAACGAGGGGATGCGACACGCTCCGGGGCGAAGACCTTATCCCTGCGGGGGTTGGTACCGCCCCGCCCGGCGCTCCCCCCGCCCCGCCGAGCAATGGAACCTCCCGCGCGCGGCGCCGTTTGAATCCGAGCCCCCAACGGCTCCCGGGCAGGTGCGCGCGCGCCGTGACGTCACGCGGCAGCGGCGCCTCCAACCCCGCGCACGGTCCGGTCCCGCTGTGCCCCCGTTCTCAGGCTCGTTCACGTTCTGCTCCCGTTGTGCCCCCACTTCCAGCCCCATTCACGGTCCGGTCCCGCTGTGCCACCGTTTCCAGCACCATTCACGCTCTGGTTCCGTTGTTTCCCCGTTTCCAGCCCCACTCACATCCCCATCCTGTTCCACTCCCCTCACGCCGCCGCCCCGCGCACGCGCAGCAGCCGCGCCCGCCGCCTTTCCCGCCGTGCACGCGCTTCTTCCCCCCTCCTCCCCTTCCCGGCGTGGGCGGTGCGCGCGCACTCGCGCGCCTCCGGCGGGGCGGGGGCGGTGCCGGTGCCGCGCGCGCAGCAGCCCCAGGGCCGGCGGCGGCAGCGGCGGCCCCCGTTCGAGGCCTCGGACCGCCCGTCCCTTCTCCCGCTGTCCCAGCTCCGCGATCCCCCGGCAGAGCCTCCCCGCGCCCATCCCCGCTCTCCTGTGAGGCGAACCCGGCGCGCGGTGCCCGCGCCGCCGCCGCCGCGCCCCAGGTGAGGGAGCGGGGGAAGAAGAAGAGCGAGCGGGGAGCAGCCGCTCCCCCGCCCTCCTCAGCGCCCCTCCGCCGCCGAGCGCCGCCGCTCCCCCTGCTTCCCTTCTCGCGCCGGAGCCGAACAGCCCCTTTCCCAAGATGGGGTGCACGCTGAGCGCCGAGGACAAGGCGGCGGTGGAGAGGAGCAAGATGATCGACAGGAACCTGCGGGAGGATGGCGAGAAGGCGGCCAGGGAGGTGAAGCTGCTGCTCTTAGGTAAGGGCTGCCGTGAGGGGAGGGTCCGCCCGAGGCAGTTCCCGGCCCCCCCCGGGGAGGGGCAGGTTCCCGCCGGGCTGGGCGGGGGGCGAGGGAGCCCCAGGACGGTGGGGTCCGTGCTCGGGTTCCCTCGGGAGTTCTGGGGGCGGCGGGGGGCAGAGCAGCCCCTTGGGGCGGGTGGTCGCCTCGATTCCTCGGGGATCAGGGGCAGCTGCAGGGCTGGTCTGTCCCGGGCCCTGCCTTCCGTGGGAAGGGGAGAACGCCCGAAACTCCTGACCTGGATTCGCTGTTCATCTGCTGAGAGGAAGGAAATGTTACGTCGGAGGATATTTACTCTTAAATGTTGCTTGTAGACCCGAACATACCCTGAGCTGTTCCTACGAGAATAAAGTACAGAAAGCGACAAAAGAACAAAAGGCAAAGCGCCGTTTAACTTTTCGCATTGCCTTTTTTTTTTTTTTTCCTTTTTGTGGAACTTGCTTGTGTTTCTGAGATCTTACCGCCTTGTTGGGGGTTCTACATGTATAATATAGTAACTCTCATTACGTGCCATCTCGGGTTCTTGAGTTTGGCTCACAAGTACTTGAAGCTCGCCTTTTTGTGTGTTTTAAGTGGTATGCTTGAGTGTAAAAGATAAGTAAGATAAGATTACTCTTAAAATTACAGGAAAAAAGGAAGTGAGGGTTTTAATTAGAATACATTTGTGCAGGAGCTAAAACTATTGTAGAGGTTGGGGACAGCTGAATGCTGCAAGATTTGCACTGAATCGATGTTGTAGGGAATTTTGCAGTATATTCTGTATAACTAAACCAGACTGAATCCTTCTAATCGAGAGTTAAAGTAGCTGTTGGGTTGCAGTTTCACCCTCAGATCTGAAGTTTCAGGCAAACTTTTTAAATGATTACTCAATTTCTCGCTCCCCTCGACACTGATTTTGCTGCATTGCTCGCCTCCCGTTTGCTCACTACGAACATTGCAGCAGACCTCTTAAATAACTTTCTGTTGATAAATTCAAAAATGGCTCTAGAAGGGTACAAAAATATTGAGCAACTTTTGTGTAGATGAAACAAATCTAGTATGGGAAAAACAAATGGCCTAAAATGTGTTTATAGATTTAAAATTATACTGGTGAGAGAAACAAAGCTTTTCTTTCTGGTTTGTTTTCCAGGAAGCGTTAGGTTTTTGGTTGGTACAGTGCCTATTCCTGAACACCTTTGGCATCCTCAGATTGTTGCATGGAAAGGTTCTCCTGTATGGGATCCATAACAATACTGCAGAACATAGGGGGTTTTTTTAGAAAAAGGTGGCAAAGTAATGCTTTATGTGTCTTCTGGCAAGGCATTTGAAATGATTTGTCAGTGTTTTGCTGTTCCATATGGAACTTGTAGTACCTGTAGTTGAGTAGTTGTAGTATTTTTCATCATATTCCTTGGTTACGGATAAAGTCCATTTAAAGATGCTTTAAACTTGAGAATGGATGTTGTTGCTATTTTCAGTTGTTTAATGCTCTGATGTGCAAAGTGCTATGTTATGAGCTTAAATTTTATAAATTCTCTGTTTCTAATACTGAAAAGATTTTCTACTCGAATCTCATGAAATCTTAGGATATGGAACAAATGGTCAGATACATGTGGATTCTCACATTGTTCTGAGCAGTGGCTTGGTTGGTTTAGTATTTCCCCATACCTTATTAAAAAGAGGTATGAAGGCAAGCAGGCTGGCTTCTCTTAGGACCAGTGTTAGGGTGATTGTTTAAACAAAGATTACCTGTATGTTTAGTGAACTCTGAATGAGGTTTTGTGCATACACCTATGGATGCATTTCTGTATTTCACATGGTTTGGAATGGAAGTTTTTCTGTTAGTGTTCCTTGCAACTCTATCAGATGTCTTAAATGTGGTGTGAATGCTTTATCTGATGGCAAAACTATTTAGAGTTACTTCCACTGGAGTCACTTTCTTCTCACCACTCACTTTCCCAGTTGCTTGTTCAGCCCACATGTCATAGTTTATCATCTACTCGGTTGTACTCCTACATCTATTTATGGGCTTGTTCTGCTAAAAAGACACTGAAATAAAAGGAAAAGTACAAATTGTGGTCTGCTGCCAGGAAAATGCAGTGTGTGAGGAGCATCTAAAATACCTTGCCTATGTAGAAAAAGGTCATGTAGCTCTAATGACCTAATAAATCAGATTTACTCCAGCATCTATAAAACCTGTATTTTTATATGGTGATTAGAGAATCCTACTGGAAGCTTGAGCTAGAATGCTCAAATGAAGGAAGATATGTTCATAAAATCAGTCTATTTCTAAACTTAAAATTTAATTTATTCCATTATATGCTTTTCCAAAGGTTTTTTTCTAAAACAGGAAATTGTGGGGATTTAATTATGAGAGAGATGTGACATTGCTGTACCTGAAACATGACTTTGTGTACACTGTGTATCACTGATCCATGTTAGATTTATATTTTGTTGTCCTGTCTCTAGGAATAAGCAGATATACCTAATCTGTGCAAAATACTGTTGAACTGGATTACCTAAATTCTTTTGTTATATCTGTAAGTTGATCCATCCCTTTATACAATTTTGACTGCAGGTCATTTGGAATAAAAATACTGGATTCTAAACATTATCCATGTATAACTATTTTAACCTTGTAATTCTATGCACTTCAGTGTGCTATGTCAACAGCAGGAGAGCCTTTCCTTGGAGATTTCTGGGAGCCATCCTCATTCTTAGAAGTAAATTGAATTTGAGCATATAGTTTGTAAGCCAGATGAAAAATGCTTGGTTTTACATGGGATTTTTATGATTATATCTTTTAAAATTATTAAATAAACAAGTTTATTTAATTTAATATTCTTTTCAGTCAGTGTGTTACAAAGAAATACTTAAGTTGCATGAAAACTCTACATAAAGTGTAAGTACAATGTATTATATTGACCAACACCGAAAATTTAACATACCAAAGTATGTACTTTTCTTTAAGCACTCTAATACTTGTGTCAAGTTGACAGTTCCTAAAATTTTGTGTCCTAATTGAAGTACTGTTTTGTTTTATTGTATTTTTTTGTTATTGTTTCTTATATGTAGTTCATATACTTAGTGTGAGATTTTGGAGAATCAGTTTATATTTTGGCTGTCTTCCAAGCAGAGAAAGCAGTGGACCCAAGTTGGTTTTCTCTTCCAGGTTTCTCATCTCAACTTTTAGTATTCAATAAATAAAAATTCCAGTGATTGCAGAATGAATGTAATTCTCCTGGTGCTGGGAGGTGGCAGTTCTGTGGGACCGATCCATGTGCTGCGTTAATACACGTGTGATCCAGATCAGGTGTGGATTTGCAAGTGCATTTCTGTTGAATTAGCTAAAGCACATAACACTGAATTTATGCCAACTGCAGGAGAACAGGCAGCACCTCATTTAGCAGAAGGCCTTCTGGTATGAGGTTAGCTCATCAGGTTTTATGAGTACATTCAAATTGGCAGCATAAGTTTATAGGATTAGCGCTTTATCTTGTGAATTATCACATTCTTCACCTAATATAGCAAATTTAGTTTTAAGGTTCTTGTATCTTGAATGAAGAAGGCAGCAGATCTGTCTTAAACGTTCTTTAGAAGTGGATCCTGGATCCAGGAGGTCACAGGCAGTGTGTTTGACAGCTGTAATTATGTGTCTTCTTTCTGGATAATTACGGCTGTAGATTTAAGTTCAATGGATACCTTTATACTCATGACCAACAGAGCCAGTTTTCTGTTCCTGAATAGATCCTTGTGATTCATATTGGAACATTGGCATGTCATGTTCTTAAAGATAAGTGGCTTTTAACTTAAGACAGAGTACAGCTTTTAATCTTTTCCATTGCAGTTCTTCCTGTTCCTTAAGACAGTAACTAGAACAATTCTGTTTAGTTGTTGTTTTAAATCTTCACATCTCGGGCATCTTTTTCTGTCTGCTTTTCTTTTGTTATAGACCTGCATCTTTCTGTCTGCTCAGTCAAACTGACTCCTGCTGCACACTCGTCTTTTCAACAGCGTGATCCTCACAGTGCTTGGCAATACCTCCCTCCAGACCTGATTGCACATTGGACTGAAAAAATACATTTGTGCTGTTCGTGCCATTACTGCTCTTGCCTTTCCTCCAGAGTATTCTCTTTCTCCACACTTGCAGACAAAAAAGACTTTAAAGGTCTGAACTTATGGGAACTCTCAAAAAAGCCTTATCCTCACAAACAAGTATTGCGCATTTCAGAGATGTTGACCTCATCTTTATAAATTATGCCAGCCTAGTCTAAAACATTTCTAACAAAACATTTCCTGTCATGCTTTCAGAGACAGCTATCTGCAGATATTTACAAAGTTCACCTCTTATTGAAAAGCTGTTTTGTAGTACCTAAAAGAAGTGTTTGATGTTTGAATTTGATTTTTTGCTTGTTGGTCTTGTCTGCGTTACCCCCCCGCCCCCATTTCTGCCTGTCTGCTTAGATTTAGCAGGAATTCTGAACTAAGAGCTCTCTTGCATTTTAATATGGTACAGTTGGACTCTGCAAATCAGGATTTTATTTATGTGGAGTTTTATGTCTGACTTTGTAGTTCAGTCAGGGAAATTCTCCAGCCTTTGTACTAAATATAACAATAATTTCAAAGAACAAAAGTCAAAATTACTAGATTCTCATAGTGTGATAATCCCCCTTGCTTTTGTGAAAGGAGGCTCATGGATGTGCAGAGAGCACAACCATTCAGTTATGGTTGTGTTTGTGTAATTGCAGTTTGGGTTCTTTTATGCTTGTCTCTTTCTATCTGAATGTTGGTGTAAAGGACCAACATGTTGGTCTTTATTATGTGTATAGACTTCACTACAATACAGATTATCTTTAGTGATTTTGGGTCTTCTGTTGCATTATTATTTTACTTCTTTTTGGAAGTTACTTTATAAGAGCCTTATTTATGATTGTATCACGATTTCAGTTCTTTAAGACAAAATTTACGTCAGTACATGTTGA